CCCCCCCCCCCCAAACACTCCGTAAACAGCGCGCTGAAGTCAACACCCTGCTTTGGTCTCATTGTTTAACCACTTTGTTATTTCTTGCTAATGTTTCACATATGATGTCAAAATTGTTCCCATTCGAGGAGGAAAAGCGAAAAGTGAGCAGGCAGCCACCGTTGTCTGACTGACTCGCTTCTTTTTCATTCTCACTCCAATCTGTAAGTCTGTCACGTTGGATCGGGTTTCTTCAGACAGCTCAGTTCTGTTGGCCGGGGTCCATTTGTTTTCAACCAGATATTAAAGAATAGAGTTTATGAGTCATAAGAAACATCTTTTAAATTGAGACGATTAGTCGCCTTTCTGCTCGACGGCTTCTTGTTCATAGTCCTTTTGGTTCAGAATCTTTAGTAAAGAGAGAAAACAGAGCAACATGTGTTTGTTCAGGATGTGATGCATACACTCACACACACACACCCTGACAGTGCAGGTTCAGTGAGGTTTCATTAAATCTCCTCTGACCCTACAGAACTCTCAGTGAACCTTTTCTCCTTCCTGTCCTTTCAGAAACCAACGATTTGAGATCAAATCAAAGTGACAAGTGAGTGGAGCTTCTCTGACCTTGCAGCCTCCACCACATCTCTCAAGCTGAACGTCTGACGCCTTGTTTTGTTCTTTCTCTGCATGTTTGCACATCGGGTCGATCATCAGCAGCGGCGGTGGCGTCACAGCACTGCAGAAGGAGAGGGTGAAGGGCAAAGACGAGACGCACTCGAAGGAGATGAACGCTGCCATGGCCTTGACCAACATGGCGCAGGGGAAGGACGGCGCCTTGGGGACGACCAGCTGCATCATTCAGAAGTCCTCTCATATAGCTGAGGTCAAGACGGTTAAAGTGCAGCTGCTGCAGAAATATTAAAGAGTCACTTTCCTCTGGGTTCAATGCAAACATTCCTCTTAAGAAACTCACCAGAGTCCAAATCAACTCCTGAAAGAAAAATAACTCTAGTTTGAGGAAGAAAAGGAAACTCCTTCTGTTTGGTCATAATGAAAAAGTGTTTTTTTCTTAAAACAAACTTTTGTAGTAATTTATTTTTATGAGTTTTATTAATTCCTTAATCTTTAAAGCCCCAAATGTTGAATTTGCCAAAGTGCCTTAATAGTTTAGTTTAAATAATGACTGCCAACTATAGCCACTACAGATTGCCCAGAAGCCCCTTCAGTTCCTGAAGGAACATTTCAGAGTTTTATTGTTCAAAATTTGTTGTAGCTGAGAATTTCCTTTAACATTTTGTGCCTTAAAGACAGATGGAGCTGAGCAGCAAACAGCAGAATCTGCACCGACACACAGAGAAAACCGCCCACAGGAATTCTCCAGAGACGTTCTTCATATTTTCACTGCAGTTCTTTATGTTGGCTTTGTCTTGCTCCAACTCTGCTTCCTCTGCACCTCGTCGCATCTTGGCCTTGGCTTGCATCAGCCAGCAAAGGATTCCTCTCTTATCTCGGCAGTTAGCAGCTGAAACGTGAACAAGATCTCAGCTGGATCCAAACGAGGACACGTTCAGCCGACACAGAGAAACAGATCAATGTGTTGAGCTGAAGAATGTCGTGACCTAAATGTTTTTACTTAGATGATCAGACTTATGTGGCCAGTGTTGCTTTTTTTGTTTGTCTTCAGAACACCATCATCTTAAATGAAGGAAGTTAAAAAGAAGCTTTTAACACCAGATTCAGAATATTATTCGAGTTTAATTTTCTTCATTGTTTTCCATTTCAGTATTAAATCTGGGTCAGAGCTTGTTCTCTGCTTGTGTCTGATTGTTTGAATAATTTCTGGTGGAACGAGCCGTGCTACATCTGGGAGACGTCATGTCCCAATTTTTGGACCAAGCTGAAATTCTGAGCAGAAGTTTGATTTAATCTATTTTTAAGGTTCTGTTCGTGTGTCAGAACGTTGTTTACATTTTACTATGTTCAGACTGCGATTCTGCTCAAGGACACTGAGGAAGGGAAAGTCACACAAAGTGACTTTTTTGGATCTTAAATGTGCAAAATACATTTTTTTAAAGCTGCACTTCCGATTTGAGTTTTTCTGTGAAGAAGTTTGAACCAAACAGTGAAGAAAATAAAAGCATGAAGGACAACTATGTAATAAATCTCATGCTGTTCCTCTGGAACTTGAACTTCATGTTGTGGGGGTCCTGGGCCCCCATATGTGCTTTTTTCTACCCCTGATCCAGACAGGGTAGAACCAGGCCTGTGCCTTATGTTGGAACCTCAAGGCCTTTCATGAACCTCAGACAGACCAGTTACATGCTGGGAAAAGGCAGATGGGGGGACCAAGTCGTGCAGCTCCAACAACGACTGCAGAGTTTTAAGAAAATGTTCGGGCAGCACGGTGCATTAGTGGCTAGCAATGTTGCCTTACAGCAAGAAGGTCATGGGTTCAATTCCCGGTTTGGACCCGGGCTGTTTCTGTGTGGACTTTCCATGTTCTTCTCATGTTTGCGTGGGTTTTCCCCAGGTACTCCAGTTTCCTTCCACAGTTCAAAACGTGCGCGTTAGGCTTCCGGTAAGATGGCGCCTGTGTACATGGCTTGCAATCCACCTCTGCTGATGGTGTTTGGATTATTTTTGGTTTTTGTATTCCTCATCAATGACATCAACTCTGCTGGTGTATGACAGACAACAACTTTTGGATCTTTGTTTTTCTGTCACTGAGGTTGCTTATTTTGACCATTATGAGCGTACCTCTGGATCCCCCCCCTCCCCCCCTGCTGGCGGACGTGCCAGTTTACCTTCGCTGTGCTCCTCACCTGCCTGCCCGGAGATCTCGCTTCAGACGCCGGGGAAAACGCGCTGGTCAGCTGGTGAAGCTGAAAGCTCTGCGCACTGCATCTTCCTCTTCAGCTGGCGGTCATGGTCTCCAGCTTCCCGCGTGCCCGGACCAGGTAACCAGTGGGAGTTGTCAGCCATTGCACAGCCCGGACAGACCTGGAGGGGCTGTTATTGAAAACCTGCGGCCATTAGTGCGCGCTAACTCCACCACTGCTGGCTCCACTTTGGACAATATCCGGATGTGTTTGGTCAACGCAAGATCTGTTACCAACAAAACTTTTATCCTCAGGGATTACTTTCAACAGCACAATTTGGACTTTTTCTGCATCACAGAGACTTGGATGTCTCCGGGTGAGTCCAGCGCCTTGACGGAATCACTGCCACCGAACTGTCTGTGTTTTAACGCCCCGCGGCCATCAGGCTGGCGCGGTGGTGGATTATTAGCAATATTCAAATCAACTTTTGACTGTAAACAACTGCCCATCCCAGTTTCCCACGCCAGCTTTGAGCTGAGCGTCTTTGAACTCGGACATTCACTTCCAACGTTATTTGCACCTGTCTACTGTCCACCTCGGTCTAAGGATTTCATAAATGAGTTTTCTGACTTCTTGGCTGAAATCACACCAAAATATGAGCATGTTTTCATTATTGGTGACTTTAATTTGCACGTGTGCTGTCCTGAGAAGCCCTTGGTTAAGGACTTTTTAGATTTATTGGACTCATTTAATTTAACTCAGCATGTAAACGGTCCCACCCAAGAGCATGGACACACACTGGACCTTGTTTTAACTCATGATGTGACTGTTAATAATCTTGTTATTGGTGATAATGTTTTTTCAGACCACATGCCAGTCCGGTTTGAGTTCGCCCTCTCCCATCTAACTCCTAAGTCGTGCATTCCTGCACGTCGCACCCGGACCATTAACCACTTCACTGCCGCACGTTTCAAAAATGTTTATAACTCTGAAATGATCATTCAGCCCCCAGTGTTTCTCACCACCACTGAGGAGCTGACATCCCAGTTCAACTCTGTCTGCTTAAAGACTCTGGATCATGTTGCACCTGTTAAAACCAAAAAATCAAAACTCAGAGCAGAACCTTGGCTGAGTGACGTCACCAAGGCCGTTAGGAGGGCGGAGCGAAAGTGGAGGAAAGACAGGCTGCAGGTCTCTTTCCAGATACTTAGAGAGTTGGCGCTTTTATCAGAAAACAGTAAAAGCTGCTAAATCAAAATTCTTCTCTGATATAATTACCTCAAACTCCCACAACCCACGTGTCCTCTTCTCCACCCTAAACTCTGTTCTCCACCTCACTGAACCATCACCTCTGGAAGCCTCGAATGAGCTGTGCGACAACTTCCTACATTTCTTTGTGGAAAAAATTGTGACCACCAGGGTTCTCATTTCCCCTCCAACTCATGACCCATCCATCCCACCTCAATCTTTATCTCCTTTTGACCATTTTGAACCCATCACTCTATCTTCTCTAGAGCAGGTCATGTGCAGCTTGAAACCTTCTGGCTCCCCCTTTGATGTGGTCCCCCCTCGACTACTAAAGGAGGTTTTTCCTACTCTAGGTCCATCCATTCTTGCCATAGTAAACAGTAGTTTATCCACTGGCGTGGGGCCAAAATCCTTTAAACATGCTGTTGTCCAGCCTCTCCTGAAAAAACCAAACCTTGACCCCTCACTCGTTTCCAACTACCGGCCTGTCTCCAAACTCCCATTTGTTTCTAAAGTACTGGAGAAAATAGTCGAGTCCCAGTTGAAGTGCTTCCTGGAGGATCACGCCATCTTAGAGCTTTTCCAATCTGGCTTTAAGCCTCTCCACAGCACTGAAACTGCCCTGCTGAAGGTCTTTAATGACATCTTCAGATTCACAGATACCAGTGATTCTGTGCTGCTTGTCCTGTTGGACCTCACAGCCGCCTTTGACACCATCGACCACAAGATCCTCATTGCTAGGTTGGAGCAGTGGGTGGGCGTCACAGGATCAGCCTTCAATTGGTTCAGATCTTACCTCGCTGACAGATCCTTTTGTGTCTCCATCAAGGATTTTAGTTCAGCACAGGCAGAGCTTAAATGGGGGGTTCCGCAGGGGTCCATACTGGGTCCCCTCCTATTCTCTTTATACCTGCTGCCGCTTGGTGCTATTTTCCGTAAACACAACATGCCCTTCCACTTCTATGTCGATGACTGTCAAATTTACTTCCCCCTAAGACACAATGGTACATGCTCTATTCAACCGCTGCTCAACTGCCTGGCTGACATCAGGGACTGGAAGGCTTTAATTTTTTTTAAGTTTCAATGAAAAGAAGTCTGAAGTCATGTTGTTCCCTCCCAATGACACGATCATAAACCACTGCATCGACCTTTCCGCTCTAACCCTGTCAGAAAAACAAAGAGTCACTAATCTGGGCGTGATAATGGACCCTTCCCTGAAACTTAACAATCATGTAAACATGATTGTTAAATCTTGCTTCTTCCAACTAAGGTGGCTGTCTAAACTGAAGCCCATATTGTCCAAAAAGAACCTGGAGACAGTAATACATGCATTCATTAAATCTAGGCTTGATTACTGCAATTCGCTCCTGTTTGGTATCAGTCAGACCTCCATTGCACAACTACAACTGGTCCAGAATGCAGCAGCCCGATTTTTAACCAGTACAGGCAAAAGAGAGCACATTACACCAGTTTTGGCCTCACTGCACTGGTTACCGGTTCACTTTCGAATCCAGTTCAAAATACTCATGTATGTCTACAAATCAATGAACAGTGTTGCCCCCCCCCCCCCATCTCTCTGATTTGCTACAACCATATGTCCCACCACGCTCCCTGAGGTCAGCGGACCAGTTGCTCCTCACAGTTCCAGGGACTTGTCTTAAGCACAGAGGTGACAGGGCCTTCTCTGTAGCAGGAACAAGACTCTGGAATGAGTTACCTCTGCTTGTCAGACAGGCCCCCTCCCTCTCGGTTTTCAAGTCCCGTTTAAAAACTCACTACTATTCAATATCTTTCAACACAAGATGATCTGTGTTTTGATCCTGTATGCTCTACACTGGTTTGTCATCATTATCTG